CAGAACTACCGGTTTTCCCGCCGGGTCATCAAAGACTGGAATTCGCTGAGTGCGGATATTGTCCAAGCAAAGTCGGTGCCCTGTTTCGAAAGACGCCTTGATGCCTTTTTTCTTACGGCTACGGATGACAATATCTACTCAACCGATCAGCGGTTCCCACTTCCTTTCGAGGATCGCCGTCCTGTTTGAGTTTATTTGCTGTTTTGAACTATCATTGAAGAGACTCCTCCGGGCCTCGGGCCCTTTTGTCTTAAATAAATTGAAATTGAACTCAAGGTCTCCATTCATCAAGAGACCTAAGTGTTTATGAGGTGACTTCGATGTTTAAGAACATGAACTTACGTTTTTTACATTTAAAATTGCGCCCATAAAAATTCAAATTAACGCTTGGAACGGAAAACTGTGAATTCTTCCGTTTTATAAAGCACATTACAAGGCAGGACAAATAACTCTTCAGCGTAGGTTTGCAGCGTTTTTTGATGATTTAAATTTGCGGGGATCTTTTCGTCTGTTTACCACTTTTGTCGCACGAAGGCTAATTTTTTTCTCTATAAATATTTTGACATGATGAGCTTATCGAAAATGCGACTTTATAATCTCATCTATTGATTGAGACCTCAGTCACCAATTGGTCATTTCGTGTAATGGGGTAATAATTGACAACTGCCTTGCGTTGCACTGAGTTGCTTCATTGCAAGCTGGAGTTTGTTTTTACAGTATTGGGACTTCAAATTTTCCTCCCTTTGTAACTTGATTGTTTTCTTCAACTTCCATAAGTTTTATCATCTTTTAGAGAGGCCCTTTGGTAACGATAATTTTTCGTTAAATTTAAGTATTCGTTCAAGAAACTTTAACTTTTGATACCCAAAAGTATTGATAAACTGACTGATTGTTTTTGGTACTTGAACCCTTTTTCTTAACATCTAGCATTCGTTGTATCCATATTCTTATTTTAAGCTTTTTTATCTGATGTTATGCGACTTGATTTGAGTAGTTAAACATAATCATCGCTTACAGGAAAAACACCGAGTGGGGTGTGAACGGGACTGGATCAGAAAAAACTGTTCAAACGGACCAAAGAAAGATGCCTCAAAACCACCACCAGTCATTTCTAACATAATGGGCGTCAAAGTAAAGATCGGGTCTATGGCGGACATGCTGGCTTTAGGAGCAGAACGTCGAAAGAGGTGGCGCTTGAGGCATGAGGAGTTCCTTCACGTTGTGCTTCGTGCGAGGGCGGCCAAGCGCGCAGAGTTGGGAGAGGAACCTGTGCCTATCGAGCCACTTCCGCCTGAAGTCACTCAAGCAGGTTAAGGTTTAAGCTATAATTGTTTTCTCATGATGGCTATAAGCTACGACCAACATCACCGGTTACCAAAACAGGCAGCTGGAAATGTAAAAACATTATTGGATTTGTATTTGCCTTAGCAGGTTTCTACTGATGGGTATGTGTTTTTTCGAAAAACATATGGACCACAAAATGAAACCAAAGTGCATTTTGTAGAATGACTACTATAAGCAATCAAAATAAATCAGTTCGGAAGACAAGTTTACTGTTATTCATAAACTTTGTAAAGATTTTTACTAATTATTTGATGGTGTTGGTTTGTGTATATATTTTACTGCTTGTACATTAGTACCCATCTGCGACTTTATTTTACGAAAAAGACTAAGGACCACTATGCTCAAGAAAAGTTTGTGTTCCTTAGGCTTAGTTCTTCGTTTTATACCAAATTTTCTAAAGACCTGTACAAACAACGGATATTGAAGAAAGGTCCTTCAACACCCTAAAAACATGTTATGTATTTTTACAATGGGAACAGAGTTACCTTAAAGTATTTTATATAATAACAACAACATTTCCGTGTCACCTCAGGTTTAGAAAGTGGTTGAGGCAGCGTTTAACGTGAGCCTATCATGTCAAAAATGAAAAGAGCAAAACTCCCGCATCGGATCTTGTGGCTCCCAACATAGGTAATCTCGGACCCATGCTTGTTGTTAGTGGCTTTGGCTAGTGATATTTATAAACAGATTGCCAACCAGGATATCCCCTAAACGAGAAAGTACTTCGCAACGCCTCAAGTCGTGGCGTCCAAATGTTAAAGATGGCCGCCTGCTATTTATGCGTTATGGAGATCATTGTTTGAAATCTCAGTTATGTATTTACAGACGTTCATCATTTTTGTTATGGTCACCACCAACGATTGCGCTTCCTTGTCCTTAGGTAGAAATCCAAAAGCGTGGTATAGCCATCTGGCACGCTAGAGACTACTTAAAATTGTAATTTTCACGTTGATCTAAAACCAAACGTTATTCATTTCGTTGGAACTTGATATTTGACATCGTTGAAAAAGTTTTGAAGTATGTAAACATACTGTTTTCAGCTAGAAATAGGCTTAATCGAAGTGAAACTCAGGAATACTTAATCCGAGGTTCCTTTCATCACCTTTTCGAACAACTTGAGTCCGCAGGCAAGACAAACACAAATATGTTCTTAAAAAACTGTTCAGTTCTTCGTTAGGAATAAATTTAATATGATAAGATTGAGGGGGAAATAAAATTAAGTTAAATTAAATGATTTCAGATAGTGGATATGTTACGACCCAAATAGCTTACGGTTTATGTAAAAAAGAATTCCTGGGAGCCTTGAATGCTCCGCACCTCATATCGAAGCCGATACCATACTGGTTCTAGATATTCTGATGCGTTGGACGAATGTCATATATCTATTTGGTTCTGTATATTCGACTTCTTTTATATTTTCCTTTGGGAAAGTATTTTAATCCAACAAGACTACTCTTTCACGATTGAGTCAAACGAATTATTCAGCTCTGTCAAAATAGCCGTTAAATTATTAATAGTCAATAAGGACATTTTGTGACCTAGTCATTTGGTATCAAAATACTCTACTCATTGTCCCTCATGGACTGACAAGTAGTCATGGTGGATCTAACTTTCGTAATCAATGATGTTTCCCAACCAGTAAGGAAGATTTGTAAAATTCTACAGCCGAGAACTTGATGAATCGTATCAGAACCCTTCTACATATGAGTAACTAAGTCTTGTTTCAAGTGAGCTGATGGCAATTTATTTAGTACAGCAGCATTAGGATCATAACTAGGTAGTGCAAAACTGGTCTAAACCACTTCAATCTCCTTTGCTAAGCGGTAAAAAATACAATCGAGAACTCTATGTATGGGACGTAACCTGCCCCTCAAGACTGACCAGTTCGTTGAGAAATTGTGTAGTTGTAGTAAAACATTGCACCGCCTCGAGCAATTTATAACTGTTGTAACGACCACAGTGACTTCGTTACACTATGGTTCTCCTGTATGGTGTTTCTGTCAACTTGCATGCAAGTGCACATTAGACATACGTTATTTCAATTCTTCTAACGGACAGTAGCTATTAACTTTAACATGCTTGATCGTGCCGATTTTTATACTGATGACCTGGGTGTGTGCGAAAATTAATTCCTCGTAAGTTATTTCCTTTGTCTTTTATAAAGCACCAGCTTTCGAAAAAATAAATTACCTTAAACTTGCAATCGTCCTTTTTCCACATTTTTCTATGCAGGACTTGTACTCTGCGAAAAATGTGGTAGACGATTTAGTGAAGGTGTCTTCGAGAAACATAAGGACGCATGCAAAGAAGTTCGCAACCTTCAAGCAACTGAGCCGACAGAAGAACAGAAGGACGCAAAGGCCCGCTTCCTAAAGCGCATGGCAGTGAGCTTTTTCCCACAATTTTTTGTTGATTGTTAACCCTGGAGTTCATAGTAATTTCACTCTTGTCTGTTATTATTTTCAATAACATCATTTGCTCAGTCGATGTCCTTTTTGTAGTACTCAAGTCCACTGTGTGGACGACCCACCCAGCAGGAGAACACAGAAGAGAAAGAGGTCCCTACTATGGAGGCTGGGTCCGAGCTGAATCCCAGTCTTTCCTGTGCTGCTGAGATGCAGAAGATGCAGTCATTGCTAAAAGACCTTATTCCTAGCCTGTCGAATGTACCTGAAAGATTGCAACAGCCCGATGCTTTTAACCAACTCTTGCAACAGCTTCTGTCTTCAGGCTTGCCCCCCTCTCGCGATGATGCATTGCTTCAGATCAGCAATTGTAACAAGACCGTTATGCCTAACTGCGAACTCGCCTATCCCCCGGAGAGTGATTCAGGATCCGGTGAGCAATAAGTATTCAAACTATCTGCATCTTTTTCTTGTTTAACTTGCAC